TTTCTCAGGATGCCTTCAGGTTCTGCAAACAACGCACACACGATGGTCACCACACACACTCACCTCGTGACCCGTTACAAACCCTGTGCTGTGGGACACACAGGCATCAGTGTTCTTGGGCTGAGAACAGGACACCATGAGCAGAATATCAGGTTGCGTCTTCCAAAAGAACTGCAAGGTCCCCTGTGGCAGTGGGCAGAATGTCCCTGACCTCGGGAAACAAGATCACACAACGCCACTCGCACCCAGTCTAGGCCACAGTGACAACAATCCTTTATCACGCTGCTCGTGAAATCTAAAATAGTGGCTCTCTAGGAAAATTCCTGCAGGGCTGACCCCGTACTCCACGAGACACTGCGCTGCTGGTGGTGTGGAGATTGAACCGAGGCCACGCAGGCGGAGGAAAGACCTTGGGCTACGGAGAGAGGAGGAAGCTCGCATTCCGGGACGGGGAGAGCGCCGGGGCTGGGACCCGGCGTCAGGGACACAGTGAGACACAGGCAGGCGTGTTTACACGCCGGTGCCGGCAGGGACCTGGGACCTTGACAGGACAGGACAATGAGAAGAGACAGAGGTGGTGGCTAGGAGCAGAGGACCATGCTGATATCTCCTGTGACAGAACCCAGGGGGCTGAGGGGTTTGTGCGGTACAAGGCTGCCAGGCGCCTTAGGCCAACGCTGCATTTCAGAGGGGATGCGGGCCACAGGGCCTGCTGTGGGCCTCTCTCCTCCCTCTGCACAGCTGCTCCCACCGAGGTCCGCTGCCCTTTCCTCACCTTGTGTTTCAGGTGTCTGTCCTGCCTCATCCTCCTGCATGTCCACCAGACAGGGCCCTCCTCTCTGTGCCCCGATGCACACCTGCTCCCCTCTTCCCCCTCTGCTTCTGCACTTCCACCCCACTGAGTATCTCAGCAGAGCTTCCGCTTCTGTTTTGTTTTTAATGTGGAGAGGTAGCCTCACAGTGGCGCCCAGTCTGGTCTGGAACTCCAGGCTCACGTGACCATCTTGTCTCAGCCTCCTGAGGAGCTCTGACCACTGCCGTGTGCCCCAGGCCACTGCTCTTTGCCTCCGCAGTCCTGGCTTATGCTGGGCCTGCCTCTCATACACTTCTCTGTGCTGCCCACTCAAGGACTGGAGGCCTCACCTCGCCTCTGACGCCTGATTTCCAGCCCCGGTGCTTCTCCAGCAACACTGCCCCGGTGTCTGCACACAGAGCCTCCCCGGGACATGGCTGCCCCTCCCTCAGCTCAGCCGGGCCCCAGGTGTCTCCCAGCGTCCTCCTCACAGGCCAGGGGACAGGCTCGTCAGCGGTGTCACCATGCTTGCTCAAGATATTGTTTATCCTTTCATCGCAAGCCTCTCTGGACACTTGGCAGGACTCTGAATACCTGCTATGGAGTGGAGGGAAAACATCTTCAACCCACCAATCTACTTTTTAATGAACGGCCAAGCAGGGAAAACAGGACGTGAGAACTGGAGGGAGCTGGACAGGGCTGGATGCCAGGTTCTCTCCAAGGACTCTGCCTCATCCTGCAGCTCCTTCTCAAAGGTCCTGTGCGGCCAGCTCACTCAGTCTCCCGCTCTGCCACCCTCGGCTCTGGGGTCAGAAAGCACTGGATCGCAGCCAACCCCAGACATCCTGGGTTCCTGTGTCTCTGTCTTCCTCATGTAGCCTCAGGATGGCAAGAAACTAATCTGTCCCCTGTCCCTAAGCTCCCTGAAAGAGTCGATTCTGGTGCTGCCCTGTGAGATCTCTCTGGCACCAACCTCAACATTCTGTATTGTGTCAGCTGTGTGCAGCGGTCAGGTTCCTGCTTCCTCTACATCCTGACCGGGAAAGGCCCCAATCAAACAAGTCCCCATGGAGTCTTGCATGGAGTGCTGCACCCTAAGGGGCCTCCCGGGCGGCCGCAGATGCCTCTCTCAGCCGACACCGGAGCCGAGCACAGAACTGGGGGATCCTGGACTCAGGAGACGCACTTCCAGCGGGATGCTGGGGGACTCACTGGTTCCATCCTGTGCAGGACTCGCTTCATGCTCCTCTGCAGGGACGGCAACACTGATGCAATGCTGCTGTTGGTAAGGTGGGTCAGGACGCCCAGGACCGAGGAGGGAGCGCTCCGCCACTGAACCTGACAGGAGTTCATCCACTTTCTCATCCTGCTGCTCATCACTGAGGGAGGGGAGAAACGGAGGAACAAAGACAAAGTCAAGATGGATGAGGAAGCACAGCTTCCCAAGTGGGCCTCAAAGCTTCGGGGTGAATTCCAACACCTCTGACCCTTGCTACAAAAGACAGGAGGAAACTGTTCCCCTCTGACTCAGGCACTGCTGCCTACTACGAGAATTTGACAGATACAAAGAGAGGGACAGAGCCAGACAGATAGACAGAAAGAGAAAAGCGTGCAGGGAAGAGAGGCGCCTCTGCCCAGGGCACCGTCCAGATAAGCAGTGACGAGGGGAGAGAGCCAGCTTCCCGCTGGGCACAGTCAGGACAGGGAGCCCGCAGTGAGAGCCACAGCAGGGCCCCACCCTGTGCGTGAACTGTGGGGATCTGACAGGGTCCCGGGAATACAGGCTCCAGTGGCGGAGACTGCACGAGAACTTGGGCCTTCTAAGCCTTTGCTTAGCAATATTGAGACAAGACATAATTTCCTGTCGGGTGATCTACAACTTTCCTTGCTGTGCCTCAGCTCTCCACGCACTCGGCGCAGCAGTTCAGAGAGACAATGTGCGTGTGATCCTGACTCTAACCTCTGCGGCGTCTTTCAGGACAATAACGCCCCAAGACTGCTTAGTTCTCCCTGCACAGACGCCCTCTCCCAATCCCCAGGGGACACACCGCGCCTTGCCGAAGGCCGTGGAGCCTGTGGTTGGGTGAATGACGCCACAGCCACGGGCAGGCTTTTCTCCCCGACTGTGAAGTCGGTGGCCACGCCCGACCCCGGCTCTTGCCTCTCACACAGCCCCGCTCCCGTCACTGGCTCACAGCCCTGACCATGCTGGTCACCTGGAGTCCAGGGACTCTGTTTCTTCCTCGTCCTCCGTGTCGCAGTGGTGCTCTGTAAGCAAATTCAGAGAGGCGCAGACAGTCACTGCACGGTGCCCCTTCCCCCACGCCCACCCTGCCCACCTCAGTGCATGGACACGAAGGAGCACGCAGGGTTTGCAGATGGACACAGGGAACTGCACTGAGTGACCTGTGTCAGCGCAGCAGAAACAGCACGGGGTGCATCAGCTCCTTCACGCAAAAAGTCCCCATCTGGGATGATTATGCCGGCGGGCACTGCGCTTTACAGGGCCAAGTTCACACGGACCCTGGTCTGCCGGGCCCGGAACCGCCCCTCCTGTCATGCAGTAGATCTACGAGGTCTGTGGACCTACATCTCACCACGGCTCTCTCACCCCACGTACTCCTCCCACCAAGGAAAGAGGAAACAACCTGGCCCACAGTGCACAACGTACCAGGGACTCCCCAGCACCCCACATGCTCGGTCTGCCATTTGTTCAGGGAGGTCTCCTGCGTACGCTGCAGAGTCCCAGTGTCCTCAAACCCAGGACTACATTCTACTACATCAAGTCCTCAAAGAAACGCCCGGAGTGACTCGGCCCGCCGAGAGAAATCCCTATTTGAGTACTGTGCGTGTGACACAACACACACCGGGACAGTTTAGAGATGCGGGAACAGCTCTTCCAGAAGGATCAACACCCCATCAGCCATAATGAAGTCGGTGCAAAGACACTGGGAAAAACCATCCTCACCCCAGGGTGACAGAAATCTAACCCAACTCCCCCGTCCCTCCCTGCCCCGAGGACGGCGATGAGGGCTGCTGGTGTCAGGAGCCCCTCTGTCAGGGAGGAGAGCGAGAGGGAATCGTGTGGACCCCACCCCACACGCTCCTCCTCTGTCCCCCAATGCGGCTCCCTGATGGGCTGAGACTCTCAGGAGAATGCAGACGGGAAGGGGAGCGCTGCAGAGACGACCCGTCTGCTGGGGCCTCCAGGAGCTGGGGCTCGGAGAAGCCCAGTCTGACCAGGGCCTGCGGCCCCCTCACCTGAGCCGAGCTGGAGGGTCAGGCGCTCAGCCAGCCTGCGCCACTCTGCCAGCTGTAGGAGGCTCTGCCCTTGGGATTCACCAAAGTCATTATCCGTGATGAGGTCTTTGAGATGTTTTTGGAGGATGAATGCGACATTTCTTCCTGCCTCCAACTTCTTCCTTAACTGGGTCAGCTCTCGGGCCTGAGCCTGAATCAGGAAGCTGAAATCGCTAAGGGAGAAGAGGGGAAATCAAAAATTACAGCTCAGTGGATGATCGTTCAATAGGCTTGGGACAGTGATTCCTATGAAAATATCATTTAAAGCTCTCAAAAGAGAACTCCTCACAACGAGCCTCAATATTTTAAATATCCTATTCGATTGAGTAGATCCTGACATCAGCACACTGCCCAGGTGGTTGCAGTTTCTTTTCCTCTGAATGTGTGGCAGGCTACACGTACATACACGTGTGTGTACCTAAGTTTGTAACTGCCTAATTCTCAGTGAAGTCCTGGGCAATCAGCTCAGAGGATGGAATGTAAATCATTCACACACACAAGAGGACAGGTGTGACCTGGGAGGACAGGAAATCCCGAGACAGACTCGGATGAGCGCTCCAAGTACCAGAGAAAATGCAAGCCTCGCTATGAGGAAGGCCGTGGTGGGCTGGGAGAATGAAGCCAGCAAAGCCAGCCGCCTGTGCACCCTCTGCAATTGCGACTGTGGCCGCACGCTTCGTCGTCCTTTCATGGACCCTCTTCCCGTCTTACCTGCTCTGATCGTCCACTTGGTAAAGTGGCTCTTTCTCTTCCTTGCCTGTCCTGCTTCCACAGTTTGCTGCAAATTGAGAAACGTCTAGTCAGATACGTGTCGGTGTCGTGCTGATCTCTCTGGGCACGATGACATCATTTTTAAAGAGATGGTGTCATTTTTTCTGTTCGATTTTAGGACACAGGGAAGGAGCTGTACGGAATGCTCCCATACTCTCTTCAGAGAAATGATCTGGCGTGGCTCTGTGACCCTTCAGGAAAAGGACTGATGTCCTGGTGGGGTCGGGTTAAAATGCGTTTTGCACTGGTCCGGCTCCCTCCACACTTCTGCTCTGCTCACCTCCCTCTGGACACGAGCCTGGTGCCTAGGCGGGGCCTCTCTCCCTTCCCAGCTCTCCCTCGGCGCGACGCCAAGTCCCTTCTCTGGGACGAGGACAGGGAGCGCTGACCTGGGCCCCTCTGCTATTCCAAGCACCACCAAGCACTGCAGGGTGGTGTCTGCTCTGTCCTCCAGGAAAATCCTCTGTGCAGGAAATGATTCCTGTACAGCATCCTGCCCACCACCATTTCATCCACAGTGAATTCCTTCTCTACCGTGACACAAAGCTTTTTCCTTTTCCAATCTGGTTTAGAAAACATGCCTACATTTTTTACACAACTACATGCAAGCACGGGTCACCAGGTGAGCTCAAGGAAGAGACATTTCTCAAAGATCCATCTAGCGCTCCACCATAAGGAGACCGGTCAGCACCAAGGACAGCACCAGACGCTCCAGAATTGTCCAGCTTTCTTCATTCTACAGGCTGCCTCTGGTCCTTACAGTGGATGCCCGCATGGTGTCCCCGACTTCCTAGCCTCCCGTCCTCACTTGTCTTGGCAAAGATGTGATGGGAAAGCTTAAAGCTGGTAAAGGGGTCGCCTAGGGAGTGTGGAGTGGCCTGTGAGCAGGGACCTCGGGATGGCTCATGTGCTCAGGGCCTGGGGTCCCCTCACCTATGTGCAGCTGCAGGACAAGGTGGTCGGCCAGCTTGCAGGCCTCCACCAGTTCCTCTCTGTGTCTCTGAACCGCACGAGCAGGTTCTTCCTGGGTAAAGAGGCGCCGGAGACACTGTCCAAGGGAGAAGGCAGCCTCTTTCCCTTTCCGTAGCTGCTCACGGTGTTGGGTCAGCTTCCGGGCGTTGTCCTGGATCGTGACACACCATGTCCAGAGGAAGGGGGGCCTAGAGGAGTGTAGATGGGGCCCAGATAGCGACAGGCACGTGGAGAGGGCATTCTCTGAGCACATCCCAGGGGAGCTCTTCCAAGGGAAAGCTCCACATGAGCGGTGACTAGGGCTTGAAAGGTCTGCAGTATTCACAGGCAAAGCAAGTGAGCTCTTGAGCCCCTCTATACAAAGACACTAGGCTTGGTCAAAGTTTTTCTTAATAATTCGCTTTCTGCTTATGAAACATGTGGCACAGAACTCAGGATCCGAATGCAGAGACCAGTCCCGCCTTCCTACCCTGCTTTCACCGTAGAGAACTGGTCACACAGGTGTGAAGGCTGAAGCCATGAGCACCGAGCTGGTCCCTGACTTGTCCTTTGGGTAACTTAGGAAATTAGTAAGAAGTGACATGCGATACAAGAAAACCAAACAAAGTGAGCAACATTCCTAAACGCCCATTTGTGGCCGTGATGGGAGGAACAGGTGAACCCAGGACATCTGTGCCCCTGGGATGTGCACACGAGGTCTCCCTGTCACCACAGTTACCGTCGCTGATCCCCGATCATCAGTTTCCTGGGGGCCTCTGGCTCCGGTGCATCCTCATCCTCACAGGGAGTCTGATTTGCTGTGAATAAATCAGATGTGGAAGGTCACATCACAGCCACCCTGCCTCACACACTGCGGCCCATGGAGGTCCGTGTGCTCTGTGTAAAATGGGGCATGCTCAGCGCCACACTGCAGGGCCTAGCACAGTTTCTGTGGGAAGTAGAGGGCTTGTTTCCCAAGCTATGGAACACAGCCCCTGTTCTGACAGGTCGGCAACGCAGGGTCCTGGCCTGCACGCTGCGACACGGTTAAGCACGCATCTTCCCCTCTGATCCTAGGGACTTTCCTAACTGCTACCTAGAGCTCTTGCTGCCACCGGCCCCACCAAGTGCATCCGCTGTAAAGAACAGACACGGAGATGACACTGAGGAGAAAGATACCAGCTCTCCAGACAATGAATCCTGGGTGCTCACGAAGGCACAGGACCCTTGGCTACGGGTACAGGGTGCGGGTGCTGGGGTGCAGTTTCAGGATGCTTCCAAAATTCCATGCACAAGCACAGCCCGTGTACGCACTTAGACCTTGGAGGGTTGCTTATTGAGAGCATGACACCGAGCAGGACCTAAGCTCAGAGCGTAGAAACCACTCTATGGTCTCCAAAAATACAGGGGAGACGAAGGTCCCCACAAAGAATTATTGCTATGAAAGGGACGCTGCTCACAAAGGACAATTATGTGGCTTCGAAGTCTATCTGTGCAACGGAGTGATTAGAGAGAATCTGCCTTCAAGCGAACACATTGAGAAGGGCTGGGGATGTGGATCGGGGCAAAGCAAATGACTTGAGTCCCCAATGTCAAAAGAAAACACACACAAAAGTCAACAAGAAGATATGGTACGCAACACGAAACGGGCCTTTGGGCAGAAAAGGAGTCCATGTAGAAAAGCATTGTCAGTGTCTGTGGGACGTCCTGGCTCTCCACAGCCCTGCTGCTCCGGACCCACCTGCTGCGTTTCCCAGGGAGCACCAGGTGAAAGGCCTGTGGCCTGCAGTCAGGAGGACTGCGCGCTGCCTGACACACCTGACTGCTGCGCCTCAGCCCTCCCTAGAGCTTGACCCACAGCGAGGTCCCCACAGGGCCCGCCTGAGGACACCTCCCACCTGCAGACAAGGCTGAGCACAAAGCACGCGGAGGTGGCTGGGACACCCAGGAGCCTGAATCTCTTCTCGGGGAGCGGGGAGCACTCTCTGGCCTCACCCAGAGGAGAGGGAACCCCAGGCTCCTCACCCAGGAAGACTGGAGTCTTGGAAGGCTTGGGGGGCGCTGGTGAGTCCCGGCAGGTGGAAACCATCAAATAACTTCTATCTAAAGTGTACGACAGTGAATCATTGATATCATCGCCATCCTCCAGGTACCTGTAAGGAGAACAGCACGGCAACCGTGAAGGACTGGAATTCACAGCTAATCACCTGGTCCACCCTGGAAGCCCAAAGAGAGGCCACACGAGACACAGGGGGCATTCTTCAGAAGTCACAATGCTGGGGCAGGAGGATGCCAGGAAAGGCCCAGCAGCCTGCACACATTAGCAATTCCCAGAGTCCCCACTCAGAAGAAGATTTCATAAAGGGGCTGGAGGGGTAGATGCAGCTGAGTATGAGCAGGTGTGATGTGCACACAGTGAGAAGCACGCAGCTGCCCCAACACCAGAGCACTGGGCTCCATGGTACTTGCAGGGACCCCGGAAAGGAAGGCACCAGGGGAAATGCGGAAGCCCAGCGATCCCGGGTCTGCCGAGCCCGTCCTTACAATACTGAACTTCCATGGGATGTGCTGTTTGGTCCGGTTCTGTTTTGTGCTATGCAATCCCCTCCAGCCAACTAAGGCCAAACGGCAGGAAGACGGGGAGTGTCTCTTCCCAGCCACCTCCCCCAGGAGAATGCAGAGCTTCCTTGCCCGGAATGCAGGGAAACCTGAGCCTAGTTCTCTGTGGGCGACAGTGACTCCAGGTGACAGAACCTGCAAACTAAGGGGAGGTGCAATCGAGACAAAAAGCTCTGAAAATAGTTCAGTTCTGGGTTGGCAGAATGGATCAAGTAGGGAAATTGAACACCTCCTGCTTTTCCCTGTACTTCAGACCTTAGAGGCCACCACTTCACAGGCCATGACCTTTCACACTCACCAGGTTACCCCTGCCTCTTCCTCCTCTTCCTGTTGGCTCAGGGTGTCTTGAGGTTCTGCAAACACACACAGCAGTCACGACATAAACTCACCTGGAGACCCAGTACACACCCCTGTGGCAATGGAATCGGATGAACGGCTCTCAGTGAGAGAATGGGACACTCAGGGAAACATCCTCAGGAGTCTCAGACTGTCTCCTAAGGAAGGGGAAGGCTTCCTCACTTCCGTCTCCGGGCAGACGAGAGACAGAATGGCACCGAAATACACACAGACAATGGACACGCGGAATAGAGTACAGAGCGCAGAAACAACCTCCAGCCATTGGATGTTTGACTAAGGGGCCAATAACCTACGCTGGAGGAAAGAGCGGCTGTGGAAAAATAGTGCCGGGAAACTGGCCATCCACATGCACAAGACTGACTCTGCCCATCTCTCTCACCCTGTGCTAAAAGCGAACCCAAGTGGACCACAGATCTGGGGATAAAACCACAAACTCTTTAAAATAAAGCATAGGCGTGGACTTCCTCAGCAGAATGCCCACCGTGTAATACTAAAAATCTACAAAATCTACAAATGGAATTGCATAAAATCAAAAAGGTTCTGCAAAGTAAAGCAAACCACCAACAGAATGAGCAAAGAACTACCAAATCGAAAGACATTTTTGCCAGCCAATTCCTCAGAGGTCTAATATCTAGAAATACGAGAACTCAACAATATTAGATGTTAAATATAAAAGCTCCGGGCATGCCGACTGTGTGACACACCTGACCTCTGTGCCTCACTCCTGTCCTAGAGTTTGACTCCCAGCAAAAGTTGGGCAAAGAAACCAACACATCCTCGTGAAAAGCAATAGAAATGGCCCAGAAGCACCTAACAATATGTTGCGCATCTTGGCAATTCAAGAAATTCCAATCAAAACACCACCAGAGTTTGTCTTATTCTGGTTAGAATGTCTACTTTGAGGAACAAATGCTTGACAGCTGGTAGGCGAAAAGGACCTTTCTGCCTTGCTTGGGAGAATGTAAACTAGTGCCACCACATTGGAAATCGGTGTGCACTTTCCTCAAAACACTCAGGAGAGAATTGCACTGGACCCAGCTGCTGTCTCTGGGCAGCTGCACGGGACTGGAAGTCATCACACCACAGTACTGCACGCACATGCATGCTCACCGTTATGGCTTCCATCGAGATGTCCCCCCAGTGCCTTCTGTGCTCAGAGGCGGTGCTTTTGGGAAGCGACTGGATCATGGGTGTGATACGGGGTTAGTCCATGGGTGGATTTGTATCTGGATGTGATGCTGGGAGGCGAAGCCCAGTGGGAGGACAGGAGAGGGTCACTGTGGTCACTGAGGGTCCCTCCTCCTCCTGCCTCGAGCCTCTGCTGCTTCCTGCCTGCCGTGCCATCAACTCTCTTTTCTAACACGCCACCTAGTCGTAGAACCAGACAACTATGGATCCAAACACCTACAAATTGTGAGCCAAAGTAATCTTTCCTCCTTCCACTTGTGTCAGGGATTCTGCTCAAGCAAAGCAAAAGTGACGCGGACGCTTATACTAGTACAAGACTACAGGTAAAATGTGGAAGTGGTGCACAGACCACCAAAGGCGCACGGACAATGAGAAGGTGGCACACAGACACACGGAATGCTACTCAACCACGGGAAAGGTAAACTGGAGACATTGACGGGAAAGTGGGTGGACACTGAGATCATAATTATGCAGAAAAATAAACCGCGGAGGTTGAAATATAACAGGGACTCCAATGTGAGAGAGCCAAAGAATAAATAGTTTCAACAGTCAAACAAAAGACGGACAACAGGAAATAGGGGGTAGACTCTGAAGCGGAAAGGGAGGCTGAGGAAAGACGAGGAGGGGAGGGCGTGGTGCTGGGTGAGGGAGAGTAAAACCGATCCAGACATGGTACGTGCACACCCCAGATCCCCAAGGGCGACGTCTTTCTCATACGCTGCAAACACACACACACACACACACACACACACACTACGAAGGCGAGGGCAGGACTAAAACACTACACAAGGTTAATTCTGAGTGTCGCTGGGCCCTGTCCCTGAACCATCGCTCATCCCATCAGATGCTCTGCTTGTGGGAGGCACTGAGAGAAGGTGCCTGCGGCCGTCCGATGGGTCCCCCGGATGCTACAGAGCCTCAGGGAGGAAGGATCTGGGCTCCCCAGAGAACAGGGCCTTTTCAGTGCGGAGGGTGGAGAGAGCCAGGGCCCAGGCTCCGCCTTCAGGAGTCACGGGGACAGTGAAGGAGCGAGCTTGTGCTGGCAGGCAGAGGACAGCTTCTCACGGACAAACCGAGCTGGAACACACAGGGACGCTGACTGGAGTGGAGGAAGGGTGCCGAGCATAGCTCCAGTGATAGACTCAAGGGGAACGGCGCGTGCACGGTCCCTAAAGATGAAAGCTCGCCACTCGGGACCAACAATCGGCAAGAGCACTGCAGGCCAGATCAGCCGCCGCAGCCTCCCAGGGACGTCCTGCAGAGCCTGCCAGGCACGGGCTCCGAGGTGGTGCCGAGTCTTACCGCCTCTTTCATCTCTCACGTCTCATCGGCCGTGCTCACCACCCTGGATTTGCCACTGGATCCCCAGAAATACGCTTGAGGACCAGCAGAGATCATTTCGGACTGGAGGACTCACGAGCTGCATCTGGAGAAGGGGAGATCTCATCCACCGGGAGAGCCGCGCTGCAGGGAGGCTGCGGGCGGTCACTCGGTTCACCGGGACCAGACGGCTGCTCCTGGTCGTCATCTTGCCAGTCCCGAGGGACGTGTTCCCCCTGCTTGTCCACTCCTCCTGTGCTCACCCTGGTGGGATGAAGGCACGAAAACAAGAAGGATGGCATGGAAGGTGCCAGGTGGTCCTGAGAGAGGTGGAAGGGAGCGGTCACAGATTGGAAGGGGCCAGACCCAAGGAAAGGACCCAAGGAGAAAGGAAACCCTCCCTAGGAGGGGACAGGTGCAGCTGCCCCGATGCAGGAGACGGAGCGAGGGCTCAGTGTGTGGGCTGCACGGCGAACAGATGAGGACAGAATCGCAGGGCTCCCTGTGTGATACAATCACGACCCGCAGGACACCCGAGAACCACAGCAGGGTCCACCTTCTCTAGGAAGCGGGCTGACTTTCCCATGTGGTGGCAGTCACTGCCCCTAACACATGCAGAGTCCGAGAGGGCAGCAGTCCACACTCTCCCACACACAGTGACATGACAGACAGGTGTTTGATCTTGCTAGGTTCTTCAGCATGAACTACCTGCCAACTGGCTAGGGCCACCCACGCAGAACCAGGCCTGCATCTCCGCCTCAACTTCTCCACACAACAGAGCAGAGAGGATTCCGTGAATCCAAAGTTGTAGTGAGGCTGTGGATGTCCACTGAGGGACAGACCAGTACCACAGGGGCAATGGCCAGCTGGGTACTAGAGGTGTTCTTATTTGGTTGAGGTTACATCAGCAGGAGATTTTGCTTCCCTTTGCAGGTGAAATCTGGGGTCCTTTTCACCTCCTGGTCTATGCATTTGGGAGCCACCTCCTACTGTCCCCATGGTAGTCGAGGCCCTGAATGTTCACTGTTACCTGGGAAGCAGTGATTGACAGTCCTTTCCACTCTCCTCCTCCAGACTTTCTGAAATGAAAATGATAAATGTCCAGTGAGGCACGGAGGAGCTCCCGTGCACCATGAGAGACCCCACGGCCTCTGCAGTGGTGGGAACGGAAATATCCATGGACCTGGGGGGCGTGTAAGTTCTCCTCTCTGGAGGCAGCACAGGAGGACCCTGTTACATAGAGAACTGTGTGCTTTCTTGCCAACCATATTTCTGGTGGTGCGCTGGCAATTCGGGTGGGGTACACGGAGCAGAGAGGAAGTAGGGACACCGAGACACCCCTGGGAAGGTGACAGCCCTGGGCTCACACTCACTAGAAACAGAGACTACAATACAGGCCGTGCCCTGCTTCCTATCCTTCCACACCTGCCCACCCATCACCAGGGCTCTCAGGTGAGAGCAGAGGAGCAAAACGGAAGGAATTGCGGAACTACCCAGACACGCATGTACACAAAAGTAAAACAGCCGGAGGGACATTTGATTGTGGTACCTGGAGTTAAAGCACATTCGTACGCAACAGAGCGGAACCCCAGCCAGAGAAATGGAAACCATCCCAAAACGTCAGGTGACCTCCACTCACGGCACTCAGTTTATCTCGGGGGGCTTCCAACAGACAATCTCAAGACAGCCCAGAGACAAAGGACAGTTTTTGAAAACACACCAGAGAAACTAAATTTAGAGTTCTCAGAAGAGGAATTTCAAAGCTGTGTTCTCTAGGGCTATAGGCTGACAGCTCTAATGGGCAAGGTAGACAGAACTGAAAGCAAATGGTGGATAACCAACAACCATAGCAGAAGGCTGATGGGCTCCCCTAACCTCACCCCAAATGCTGGCAGAATCTTTCGGAACTCAAACGCGAGGAGAACGAGAATGAAAGAGTAAAAAAGGAGCTCCTAGCTGGTAGCTGGGTGGATCATCTCAAGAGTAGAGCACATGCCCGTCATTACAAGACCCCCAGTTCCATCTCAGAATCACTAAAAAAGACAGCACAGAAGAGAAGGGAACATGTGAAAACACTGTGAAAATTTTAAGTGGTAAAACCGATGCATGATAAAGATAGCAGAAGAGAGTCAAGCTCAGCAGAAATATTTAAAGTAACCATACCTGAGGAAGCCCCTAAGGTAACTACACAGAGAAGCAGGTAGAAACTCTGAGCACAAGCAGGGTAGTCACGAGGAACCCACACATAGTCCGAGCACATGACAACGTCAGAGAAACAGAGACAGCAAGGAAACCTGAAAGTAAGGCTGAAAGGTGTCACAGGGGAGAACTCTATGAGATTTCTCTTTAGAGATCATAGAAACAGAAAAGAACGGAGGGGGATGGGTGGAAACAAAGACTACCCAATATCCAATATCTACCCACTGAATTCGGAAGGGAAAACAAAAGACAGCTAGCTCAGACAAATAAACACTGAGAGTATCTGTTTTCAATAAAGCTGCTCAGCAAGCACGTTTTAAAAAGCATCTCAGAAAAAACAGCATGATATAGGTAGAGTTCATAGCCACAAAAATGACATGTGTTACAGAAAGGTAGCAACGAAAGGATATGAAAATCCCTACTAAACAATTTCCAGTATAAAATGAAAACACGGAAGTATCGCTGATGTCACGGCGAAGGAGGGGACCTCACAAGCAGACTTCACAGTGGAGCCGGGCCTCCATGGAGAAACGAGCCTTTTCATAAAAAGATGCTGGGAAAGCAGTCACAGGCCACACACACACAAAGTCCTTAGAGACTATATGCTTTCCAGAGAATTAAATCAGAGTGACTTTAGGGTAGAGTGAAAACCACCAAATTTTCACAAAACACGATGAATAAGGAACAGAAATCGAGCCGACTTTGGGTTGGGACCTCAGTTCTCAGACAGGACACAGAGAGCACAGTGCGTGAAGCAAAGGGCGAGCAAGCTGGACTCAACGACATCAACCACTGCTGAGACCGGCTTTCCAGAGAATTAAATCAGAGTGACTTTAGGGTAGAGTGAAAACCACCAAATTTTCACAAAACACGATGAATAAGGAACAGAAATCGAGCCGACTTTGGGTTGGGACCTCAGTTCTCAGACAGGACACAGAGAGCACAGTGCGTGAAGCAAAGGGCGAGCAAGCTGGACTCAACGACATCAACCACTGCTGAGACCGCTCACCGGTGACCGCACCCTGGGAGGAAATCCTCGCAAACCACATGGCTGATCATACAGGGGCTGGGCCTTCGGGGATCGGGGTGAGGGAGGGATGCGTGCTGGGATGGACACAGTGGACTCTTAGGGCGGGAAACGTTCTGCGTGACAGCGAAGGGTGCCTACGTCATGACACCTGTTCCCAAGCCCACGGGACGCACAGCAGAGTGAACCTGACGGACATGCGGTCCTCAGTTACTAGTAACTATCACCGCGGCTCCTCGCTCGCAGGGAAGGAAACGCAGCAGCCTGGCTGTGTCAGGAGCGGAAATTCTCTCCAAGGGAGGTCTTGACATCTATTGGGTGCAACTGGATCGAGTACATAACCAACCCCAAAGAGAGTGGTTTTAATGTAAGTGTGTTGATGGGTATTCCATTCCCACCTAACACAGCTGCAGTGATCATATAATCCACTTGTCTACACTAAGAAACAGAAATTTAGGACCGAGGGAAGGACCAGTCACCCACAGAAATCTTAGTCTGAATGATGTTCCCTCTAAGAAGCTACCGCCGGTCACACTCCGTCCTCTGATTTTGCCCTGGATGGATGCCACCTGCTCAGCCAACACCATGCTCCACCAGGGACAAAGGACACAGGTAGATGCCGTACCGCTGTGCTGTACCTTTAGCTCCTAGGCGGCCACTCAGGAACTCCTGATTTTGCCATGGCCCTAAATATGACACTGGAATAGAGCGGCTTGTAAACAAAGTTACTGTGTGCATGCGATGTCCCCAGCCCTCATGCCTGCGCCGGCTCAGGGTTCTCAGAGTCTGTGGCCCCCTCACCTGACTTTCCGGCAAGGACCTCTGCCAGCCTGCAGCCCTCAGCCAGCTGCCCTCGGAGACCCCGGCCCAGGGTGGGGTCGGCGTCGTGCCGGGTGGGGATGGCCTTCAGGTGCTCCTTGAGGAGCAACGACTCATTGCTACCCTCTTCTAACTGCTGCCTCAGCTGGGACAGCTTCCTGCGCTGTTCTCCTATCAGAATACAGGACTCCCTAGAAGGAAGACAGAAAACCAGGTGAGCCTGCAGGGCAGCACAACGGAGCCACGCGCAGGGACAGACCTGGCGTTGGGACGGAGGAATCCTCCAAGCAGTCTCAGGCACATATTTGGTGACCAGACTGTGCCAACAACATGGGAAACAGCAGACGAGATGAAGCCCTTCCCTGCGTCAGAAAAGGCTCCTGCAGGGTCCCCGGACATCGTCTCATCTCCTCCTCTGGAAGGAAGCCAGTGTCTCCTGAATTAACCTTTCTAAAGAGGCCCCGGGACTTCCTCTTTGACTACAGATGTTTCTGTGTCAAGAGAGACGCTGCGCTGTGCAGGGCTGGGACGCACACCCGACACAGACGTGAGTCTCCCCCAGGTGGGGTAGCTGGAGACAGTGAAGGACCCAGAGCTCCGCAGGCTCAGGAAGACACAGGGAAGGATGCACCTTCCCCACTCGGGAGGGCCGGGAAAGAGGGACGAGGGAGGGGCTGCAGCACACCAAAGGCTGGGGCCCCCACAAATGGCATTCTTCTCTAATTTTTCTCGAGTAACCCTGGGGCCTGTGCCTGCCAGCTGGCTTCTGCCCTCCCTGGCCCATGCCAGCTCTTGGTTCCAACACCCACGCTGTCCTTTCAGGGTGCGCACACCTTCCCACGGCCCGCCCCGCACACACACCCTTACCTGAGCTGCTCGGCCAGCGAAAGCTTCTCGGCCAGCTCCTGCTCTTTGGGCTGCAGCCTCTCGCCAAGCACGGAATCGATGACATCCTTGTACTTTGTACTTTCTGAGAAAACACAGACGCACCTGCCTCAGTGTAGAGCAGGCCACGCCCATGGAGGGACAGGGCCAGCTCAGCACCAGGCTCTCCACAGCTCCCATTTCCACCTTGTGATTTCCCAGGGTCTCAAACAGCTCCAGTGTGACAGCCTCCGTTAGAGATGAGGACAGAAGCTGCCAGGCAAGGGCGCTGACAAATGACTCCGCCGGTGCGAGAGTCAGAACTCACATCCCGGTCTGAATGGGGGTCCGGGACCCCTGGACAGCCAGGCCCTCGGCCCCTGAACTCACACCCTTAGCTGGGCACGAAGCGGTGCCAGCTCTGTTCTTGGAGTGGAGCTGAAAGTTCCCGTGGGCTGGGATTCCTGCGAGGATGAAGGTTCTCAAAGACAGAGAAGAAAACTCTCCTGGCAGTGTGTGCACAGTGTGTGGCGAGACAGCGTACCCGACATGGCAAGGAGCGGACGGGAAACGCCCGACCCTGGAGAGCTGGTGCTCAGGTGGCAGCAGGGCCCCCGGGAGCGGGCACCCGTACCAGGTGCTGCTGCAAGAGTGTCACCACGACGGACTCAGAGCTCACTGCGGCCCAGGGACGGAGAGACTGGGGGAGACCACGGAACAGGAGGAGCCCGAGGGCACCGAGGCCGAGACTCCGGATTAGAGCTCAGGACGGCCTGGCACCCGCGCTGCACACTCTTCCTGCACGGGCCCTGGGGTGGCTTTCTCCTCTGTCACCCGCGACATCTCTTCCTGCAAAGCCATCTGAGTCTGTGGACGACGTGAGGGAAAGGCAGGCGGCCTGTTCCCAAAACTCATCTGGAGACTCCTTCACACGGTTCACTCTTATCATTTTGAGTCCCTTTCAACTGACCAAAAAGCCCTCCCAGGGAATCGCGGGTCACCGTGAGGACTTCGGGCTCAGAGGGGTGACGGTCCCTGTGGGGATGGTGCCGGCCGAGCGCCGTCCCCTGACTCCTCCGTCACCACAGCCCCGCTCCTGCACAGGCCAGCGGGCTCTGCTCTGGGGCCGACGGGGAGGACGGCACCCTGCCTGTGACCCTGGGCGGACTGCAGCTGGCGCGCGCTCCCGGACACCTCCTCTCCTGCGGCCTCACGTCTCAGCGCAGACCTTGAGGAACACCTGGACCTGCTGCCCAGCCCCACCCGAGAGTCCGCAGTCTGTTATCCCGACACGGCCCCCGCCGAATCACAGCGACCGGCTCTCCTGGGCTCCTGAGAGGAGCCTGAGCCCCGAGGAGCAGGTCTCCCTGTTCTCCTGGCAGTTCCTGGTCTCCATGGTGACAGCAATCGCTGCTACACGTTCAGTTAGGAGCGGAATCCCCCGAGCTCCTTTAAAATTGTGGGGAGCACTATCCCCAGCTTTCCTCAGCGTAACCAGCACGGTGCTGTGCTCTAGGGGACACAGAGGCTCCTAATCAAAATGCCCTGACCTCTCCATGAGAAAACCAGACTATTCTGTGCCTGCACCAGGCATCAGTAACTGGCAGTTTAACCCTGGTCTCTGCCCACATCTCACCAGGTGAATGATTTCCATCTTCACCCAATGGAGGGGAAAATACAAACTTCTAGCTTCTAAGACTACAGTAAGGTATTCTGAGGAAGGAGGAGAGGACTCTTGCTTGGAGAACATTGCCCTGCTCAGAGAGGAAATGAGTTCCCACATCACACGGTGCCCGTGAACCTACAGAACTTACTGAATTTCCGCAGCTCGGCTGCCAGGACATAGAGAGTAGCTTTAGCTATGTGGAAGTTTGCTTCCATGTCTCGCAGTTGCTGCTGGCTCTCCTCCAGCTGGAAATTCAATTCCTGGTTGATGTCAGAGCAGGTCATTTCAGCCTCTTGATGACGCGAGGGTCATGTTGATGACAGTACCTCTGCTGTGGCCAAAGAGGTAGAACTGAGCACTGGGGAGAAGAAAGACAAACAGAAGACAGGTTAAAATCAAAGGAAATCGGCTAGCTTGGATCGGGACCGAGGCAGGACAGTAAGCACACTGATGAACTCACTGTTGAGAACAAGTCGATCAACACCCCAGCACACTTGAGAATTTCTCAGTGAAAACAAGAATCCAGAACCTGAGTTCAGAGCAGAAGGTACTGCCTGCGACTCAGACAGAGCGAGGCAGTTACGGCCCAGTGTGCCCGGCAATGGGCGACAGTTACAGCAGAGAACTGGAAGGTGGGGATGTCACGGAACGCCAGGAGTCCCCGCCTTCCAGCTGCCCGGGCTGTGCTGACACACAAGGCCCCTGGTCTCTTTGGAAAGGCACCACTGATGCGTACCCTTTCCCCAAAACCCTGAGCGTATTTCCCAGCGTTCACCCTTATGTATGGATAATACCCTCAAAACACAAACCGGTTCCCTACAGATTAAATCTTCAGCAGGGCCGAAGTCATCTTACTACCTCTTTACCATGTTTCTTACCGAAGTGAAAACTAAACGATGCAAATGTAGGAATAAAAACGTATCATGATCTTCTGAATGTTCACCGCTATTTCTAAATCACTGAAATGTACAGAACGAAGACCAGTACGTAACACCAAGTGGATCTATCAGGAAAGCTGAAAACTGTTTACGTCCTTTAGTGATATCATCCTTGCCACATTTCATTTTTATGTTGGCTTCCTTCCTCTCCCTGACACACTGTTGGCTTTTCACTGCACCTCAGTTAAATTTCATATAACTTAACTCCACCTCTCCTCTCAGATGGGCGGCTTTTTGTTGTAGTTTTAGCCTCATTAAGGAGCACAGTAAACACGGGTCACTGAACATTGTATTCCAGCACCACAGGAGCTTTCTGCAAGTGTCACCCTGATCGAAACAGCCTAAAAACCTCAAATATTACAGGGCCATGACCCCTGTCCTACACCGAATTCTGCCCACTTCCCTTTCTGACCGAGATTGACCTTTCTGGAGATTCAGCACCCAACCTCACACTGTCCAGGCTCTGTAGTTCACATCTGCGTGGCTTCTGTTTCGGTTATTAGGTAAACTTCACCTGTGACAGGAAACCAGGGACGGGACCCACGTGAAGTGTGTGTGAGCCCTCATCCGTGGGACGCTCTGGAGAGATTCTCCAGGGTCCTTTCATCCTAAATCTTCAGGAGGCAGAGAGCCCAGGGCTGTGCCCCGTCACCGGCCTCTTCCCTTTCTCTGGGTGGGCTCAGCACTGTCCATGACAGGTGTTGTTACCGACAGTCCTGAGTCCTCAGCGACCCTGGTGCAAACACACGAAGCTCCTCTCAGTAAGGGCTGCCCTGCCCACATCTGTGTCCCCCATGTAACCATCAGTGCTTCAGGCACAGGGCCGCAAACGCAGTGCCTGAGCTGAACTCCTGCAGATCCAAGCTCTGGAGCTCGGCAGAGCTTTTATATCTGATGAGCATGGAGGGGGCAACAAGACCAGCCCTGCAGGGGCCTTAGTTTATGTTCATTTAGTGAAATAAAACTCACTGTTTCTCTACCATCTGAGCATCAGACAACTAGGATTTTAGTCACACAGTCACGCCTATGTTTTCAATACAAACATAAAAATTGTTTTCAATCTTCCGTATTGTATACAGAATTTGAGGCTAAAATAAGTAGTACAATTCTCTGAACACGGCGAGTACTTATTTGACCTTTATTCAGGGATAAACTAGTGAAATGGAAGGATTATCAGAGGGACCGGAGGACGTCTTGATCGTGGGAACGATGACCTTGTCAGTCTTACTGAACTTACCTCCTCGTTTTTCCAGCTGACAGGAACACAGTCAGGGGACACTGATGCAGCCACCCTCATCCTCAGACCTGGGCAGTGAGTGGCTTTCAGTCGACTGGGAGCCCAGAGGTGGTGATCTGCTGAGAGGTCACAGTCATTACCTTCAGGCCGGTGTTGTAGCTGTGGGAAAAGTCAGACGGAGAATCAACACAAACGCTCGTGCAGTCCCACCCAGCAGCTGCTTCCCTGTCCACAGAGCCACGGTCACTGCCCATCACTGTCTGGTTTCCAGCCTGAGGGCTCTGGGCATGCTGGGGTTCATGTTCTCCCTCTCAGGGCTTTGGGTTCTTTCGGAAAGTCTTTCTGTTATCTAAACTCCCAAGTTTTGACACGGTAGGAAAAACGGAGCGAGTACCAAATACACAAGAGAGATGCTGCGGGCAAACTTTCACCCAATGCAAGTGGAGAAGGACAGGAGATCGCTTCTTGGCCTTTGGCTGAGATCAAATGAAGGACAGAAGAGTCTCAGTGGTTCTGAGGCAGGAGTTCCGTCCCGTGCCTCCCAGTGTTGGAGCAGAACAGCTGAAGGTGAGCTTTCTACCTTCTCCTGCCCAGTTATTCCCGCTATGCTCGCACTCACCTGCCGGGCATCTACGATGGAGACAGCTCCAAATTCCAGTCCCAGTGGCCGGGGCCGGGCCTCACGGTCTCTCTTCCGTCCTTGGACTGGGAGCCTCCAGGCCACATAACGCTGCTCTGAGTCCAGCCAGGGGAGGTCCTTGGCCAGTGCACGAACCCAGTGGGATCCCTGTCCCTCCCGACCACACTGCTCAGCTCAGGCTGTGCCTGGAAGGCTGGCGGGCACGCATCACCCTCAGCCTCCCCTCAGCTTCTCATCCAACTCGTCCTCACGCTAACCTTTTCCCGCTCCGCCTGCTTCCCCACCCCTCGTCCACTCTGGGGACTCATCCTCCACTGGTGCTTTCTCTCTTCCATCGGCACCTTCATTTCTGGTTTCTCAGGATGTGGGCTCAGCTTGGGCTCCTGCAAGACACAGATCCTTCTGTTGTTTCAGCCGCAGAGCCTGCGGTCGTTTGTGACAGCCCCTGGAGAAGAACATGCGGAGACCTCGCTCCAAGAATCCCTCATAAGGAAATCCTCCCTGAGCCTCCAGCCTGACTAGAGACCCCAAGTTCACTGCAACTCATATCACTGTGCTGGGGTCTCGGCCCACTGAGGACATCCTGCTCAGGACACCGTCAGAGACCTAAATATCGACAGAGGACAGAGACAACCACACTCTACCCGAATGCCTCAAAAGTAACTCCATGGGGTCCAACAGAAAACCGACACTGGAACAGGACCTCACATCAGCCCTGGGCTTCCGTTGAGGTAGTGTGTGACACCTGCAGCACCAAACAAGGCCCGAAGTGCCTGCCGGGAAGACTGAGTGTCTCCTGCCTCCTCTCCTCAGCACCCAGCATGGGGCCGGCACCCAGGACACTCAGTAACTACTTCCTCAGATCACAGGCATGGGGGGACTCCTGCAGGGCTGCTCAGAGGGGAATCTGAGGCCCCACTGGGCTGCAGGCCAACACTTCCGCACCGGCCGGACACCAGGCTGATGAGTTAGCCGGTTACCCTTCCCGGTGACTCTTCCCCATGCACACCGGTCATCGTGCTGAGCAGCCAGAACACGACCGTCACTCTTCACCACCCGAAATGCTTTGCTTTTCATTCTTTCTGAGAAAATCGGTTCACGTCAGTGTCACTGTCCCTCGGGGAGCACCAACCACCCTGTGAGTGCAGAGCCACGCTCACACCCTCCGCTTCCCCCTCCTGTGGGCTGACTGCAGCCTCCACAGAGGAGCAGAAGCGTGGGCTGTGATGTGCGCTCCCTGCTTCCCTCCCGGAAGTGACACGGCGCAGCCTTACGGAGCCTGGGGGACACCGAGACCAGGAGCCGCTCCCTGCGAGGCCCGGCAGCTCCGACAAGGCTCCCCGAGGTGGCAGAGACCGTCAGCCCCTGCTCCCTGCCCGAGACTTCTTCCTCATGCCTTCTTTCATTCTACAAGAACGACTTTCCTTCCACCACGCGCCCCTCTCGGAGCTTCTGCCTTCTGTTCACCACCCAGTCCAGACCAAAGCAAAGCTTGCTGGGGTTCACTTTTATCCACAAGGTGCTGCTGGCCAGAGAGCTTTCGGACCCAGGCACATCCCAGGGGAGCAGCCCGCTTGGAAAGTGCACCTCCTGCCACTGCAGGACAGCAGTGCTGACAGCCACAGCCCGGCTCTTCAGGGCAAGGGACCACGCAGCAGGTTCAGTGAACAAAATTTCCCCAGGGCTGGGTCATTTAGGAAAACATGGCACTGATGGAAAGCAGCTTTCCAATCTAGAAGAGGAAAGGAAATGGTCAGAATCACAAGGCAAAGAAGTCAGCTGGCTTACCGTGCAGAAGGCAGGGAGCACGCGGTCTCTGTGATCTTTGTCTTTCTGGCGTCCAGTGTCTGGAAATGGGCAATGAGGGCTTCTGGGGTGTCCTAGGGACACACAGCCAGCCCAAGGTGAGACTCTAAACTTGTCATGAGGAAAAAGCCTTTGCCTTGTGTCAGTCTGATCAGACTGAGCTCTGGTCACATCTGCAAATCCTAACGTGCTCTGCGGAGTCTGAAATGCACAGACCCTGACACATGGAAAAATCATTCAGTGCTCCCGAGTGTGACAGATTCAGAGCTTGAGCTGAAAGGCAGTCCGCTTGCAGGTGCCCATGCAGGCAGTACCCAGGGTGGTCTCATGACAGACCCCAGGCTCCCGAAGCGCCTTCCGTTCAGACAAGCCCACCTGACATCACCTCACCTCCAACCACCCTCTTGGCACCCTGGCCTGCCCACCTGGCCTAGCTGGCCTGGGACGTTCCCTTGGTCTACTCTCCAACTCTTACCCTTTTACCTCATCCAAGTTGAGAAATGGGGCCTGGCTTCCCTCCCTCCACCCTCCTCATTCCCCTCACCCTCTCCCTCACAGAGCTCTTGTCGCCACATTCTGCAGGCCTGAAGTTCAGATGCCCTTCTAGCACCGACAGACACTTCCAGAGGATTTCCCTCCTTCTCCAAGCCACACTGGCCTCTCATGGTTCCCTGGAACTGAACTGTCACCGCGTCCCTTCCCTATGCTTCTCCTGCCTGCCCCTCCGTCTCAGGCTGGGCGTCAACCCTTCCGGGTTGGAGGCTCCACCGCAGGACACACTGCTTGCTACTGTAAAGTTCTGAAATACGTCACACACACACAGGAAGGTATCAGATGAGTGCAGGACAGCCTTCTGTACATCCTCCAGCTTAAGGAAGCCAGCGTCACCCAGATGCTGCTTGTGAACCCTCACATCTAAAGGAACCGCGATCTGGAACCTGGCGCTTACTATGCTTAAGTGCTTCTTTACACACTTATCACCCCTAAGCAATGTATAGGATTGCTCTACATTCTTCAGTTTCACTAAATGGCTCCATACTGCATATTCTCAAGCAACTTGCTTCCTGGCCCAGCAAGGCTCAGTAAACCACTCACTCACTTCTCTGACACAGGTTATTTATCCACCTTCCTGATGAAGACCATCTGCGTTAATTCCACTTTTGTTGTTCTTTTCATAAGTTCTTTCAGTACTCTACAGACTTTTTTTTTTGGTCCTCGGGATTCAACTCAGGACTTTGTGCCTGAGAGGCAGGCGGCAGAACCACTGAGCTAAATCTCTGGACCTCTACAGCCATTCTCGTGTCTGTCTCCTCGTGGAGACAGTTTCCCCAGTCTTTAGATGAGACTGCTGCACTGTAGCACCCACTCTCCTAGGAATGGACACACTGGCATCCAGAGTGGCTCCACCGCCTATGCGCTCACGGAAAGCACACAGAGGCGCCCGCCATCCCGCCCCTGCCACGTGGTAGGTACCTGATGGCCGTCCCATGGACCACCACATCCTAACACACAGCACACCGCCAGGCATACTCAAGACCTATTACTGCATAAACAGACCTTTACGGAAAGACCTGGAGGAGGGACTGCTGCAAGGTGAGGAGGGAGGATAGAGTGGGCTGGAATGAGGAGCAGCAGGGGAAAGGAGAGCAACCGTTTCGGTCCCGGCCCCCATCAGGCCACTGCCACGGTTAACCCCTCACACGAGGACAAGGAGTCCCACTCGGTCTCCTGCTGGGGGGAGGCTCCACTGGCACTTCCCAGATACAGACGGTGACTGCAAAGGGGAAGGACGGCGCCAGCCGTCACTCACTAGGACGAGACTCAGCACCCCCAACTCTCACCCCTTCCACTTCCTGCCAGTCAGCCCAGGAGCCCTCCAGTGTCCTCCACACTGAACAAAGCTCACCAGACTACGCCTGTGCACCGAGGACATTTTGCTCTACTACTCTAAGGCCGTCACCCTGACCTTGGGGGAAGCCTCATAATCACCAGCGGGGACGCAGAGAAGTGGCAGAGCCCGCAGGGTGCATGGCACAAGTGTCCTAGTGGGTGACAGCCTCTCTGCGGTGATAATAAGCTGGAAGATGAAAATAAACCAGTCCCAAGGAGTGTGATTGGGATAGAGCCATCCTAAGCAGAAAGAAAGAGGCAGGCCTGAGACAGCAGAATAAACGCGAGGTGGCTGGAGCAATGAGCTGGAGAGGAAGACAGAGAGTGGGGCAGAAAGAAGCTATCAACTCGGTGATTCTGTAGTAGCAAGATTCCCAGCTGCCTGCAAGATGCCTTGTGCTTCCCCAAAATCCCCAGAGCTCTGAAAAGATGGACAATCACTCCCATGCTTAGGCTGCGATGTGACACGGCTTACTTTGAGAAAGGGACACACCTGTAATGCCAGGACTAGAGAGGCTGAGGCAGGAGGATCGCTGTGCGTCCAAGGCCAGTGAAATAGCTGTGGTGGGGCCACTTCTCAAAAAAAAGAGAGAGGAGCGTGATGGCTTAATCAGACCACCAGTGAGACTACCAGTGAACCTAAGGTTTGTTTTGCAGCGAATAAAGACAGTGTACAAAAGTCCGAGGCCAGATAGGCTCTCTTTCCAGCGAAGCCATTGTATGATTATCTAAGCGTCAGGCTCTACTGGCAGATGTGAAGGTGACTACAAGTGACAGTTCACATTGCGTTGTTGACTGCTTTCTTTGTGCCAAGCAGTTCTAGAGACGCCACGCAGACGGACCGACTCCTGGAGCCACACGCTAAGCAAGCAGGCCCTGCTGCTCTGCGGTCATCCAGCCAGCGCTGGTGGAGGTGGGACTCAAACCCAGAGCCTCTGGCCGCAGAGGCTGTGCGATGAGCTGGACAAGAAGCTCAGAGGTAAACCGAGTTCAAGGGAAAATCCAAGCCCCTTATCCGACGTACGGGACGAAGAGACGAGTGGCAGCAAGAGCGCAGGCAGAAGAAAATGGCCCAGACCTCTGGGTCGGGGACGCCTGGTCGGACTCAACTCACAGACGTCAGCGCTGTGCGACTCTGCGTAACTTGTCAGACTCTGACTCCCTCCCTGCCCGCCCCGGGCCCATCTCCTCCTCCTTCCGCGAGCGCCTTGACACCTTCTCCGTCTCGCTCTCGGAGGCCAGCG